AAAACAAGGTTAAAATGCATCTTACAGCATAGGGTGGGATAAACACGAAGAGACACAGTATCTACACTGTCGTTTTTATAACCCAAAAATATTTGTATTTTATTCATATCATGGATCCTTCCAAAGAAAAGGTGCATGGCAGACTATTTCCTTCTTTTTAGCAGAATTTTGCAGATTGTTTATGTGGTTTTATTTTAAAATAGAGGATAAGCTTGAGTGGAGGCAAACTGACAGGCACAGTCCATAGAGAGCTTCTATTAAACACATTAACCTAGCTCAGATTGTTCCATTTTAGCTTAGAAAGAAATATTTTTGTTATATTGTATTTGAAAAATATCAGAAGAACAATATTCTTATGGTGTTTACATAATAAACACATTTAAGGAAACATTATCATGCCAACTATGCTATCTAAAAAATTGCGAAGTAATGCCCTACTATTATTTCTGGCTACTCAAACAAGATGTCATACTGCTTATAATGAAATCATCTCTTGTTTTTTTTTTTCAGATGGAGTCTCACCATGTAGTTCAGGCTGGCCTTGAACACACTATGTAGCCAAGACTGGCCTCGAATTTGGGGTGATTATCCTGCCTCAGTAAGAGATTAGATTAATCCCTTGGATTAGGGATCCAAGCACTGGGATTAGAGGGGTGAGCCATCACGCCCAGCTGAAATCATCTTGAGATGAAACTATGTTTATGAAAAAAAATCTTAAAAATAGATGTTAAATGCAAACAATTATTAAAGCAGCACACAGATTTTACAAGACAAATAGAATTTCTCTTAGCCCAGTTCACATTTCCAATCTGTATAGTAGATTTCATCTACAAAGAGATTTTCTAAAAACACACAAACTAATTTATATATGTTTTAATACAAATGGCAATTTTCATATCCTTTTCAGTATGCCTTTACAGTTTATTAAAATGTGTTGTTGATGATATTTCAGTCAATATAGCCTTATTTTTTAAGGGGTCTACACCACAATATATACAACCAGTTGCTTAATAACAAAACTTTGAATTGTTTCTAAGTTTATATGATTACAAATAGTGCTGCACCGGATAACTTACATAGACTTTTCTATATCTGTGCATGAAATACTTGCAAGAACAGTTGGGGAATTAAAGTTTTGTGCTTTTTTGATATTGTCAAGTGGTATCACAAAAAACTGAATCAACTTATGCACTAGACAAAAAGTTACATTACCAATATAGTGCTTTGTCAAAAATTTTGCCTCTGCTCAAAGAAAAAAAAATTAATTTCATATACTAAATACCTTATAAATACCTTATATTCTAGCTTATAATGGAGGTCAAGCAGTTTTTATTATGTCTGAAAGTCATTTCCATCTCCATTTCTGTGAGCTACCTATCATTTTTTTTGACATATTTTGAATATGTGTGTGTGTGCGCTTTTTTATGAAAGGTACTAAAATTCTGTTGTATTTTAATTTTTTTCGTAATTTATCATTTGTGATTATTCCTTTCTACCCATGCAATGGTCTAAGTTTTTGTGCTGCCTTCCAGACATTTTCTTCCCTAAAAATAGGGTATCTAACACTCTCATCCTAAGGATGGGTACTATAAAGGTAAATTTTAGTGCAAGGGCAGTGAAATCTATAAGGAGGAGGGGAGGAGGAGGATATATTTCCTGTTCTTAAAAAAGTTATGAAAGCCCTCAGACAAAACCATATATTATCCCACTCCTGAATATATCATAAACCACACTACCAAGTCCTAATGCCTACAAATTCAATGCCTCTGTCTCTTATCTCTATTTTTCCCATCTTTTTACTGCCCCCCACCAACTCTGCACTGGACTGGGGCAAAACACATTTAGAGTTACTAAGTATTTTAGATACAAAAAAGCATCATATACATATATTAGTGGAGGAGAAAAAGGAAAAGGCTTCCAAAGGAAGGAAGCATCAAAAAGATGATTTCTAAAGAGAAAGAAAGTGAAGACTCAGTATGGGAAACTTTGTGAAAGACAGTATCTTTTATAGTAAAAAACTAATATATGCTGAAAGGAAAAGGGGAAATTAATCACAGACAGTAACTATTGTTTTTCCTATTACATGAGGAACATCACTTCTTCTTTACAAACATGAATGCCTCATAGACATTTTTAATAAGTCATTCTGTATTCCAAATTATGATTTTAAAAACACATGTATATATGCGTGTGCATACATGGATATGTATGTGTGTCTGTGAGACAAAGCGAATGAGAGAAACCGTTTTTGACTCTGATTGTGTTACAGTTTGTAATATACTTTGACATATATTTCTGTAAACACAGTAGGGAATGGCTGAGGTTGCAAATTGGTCACATGTGTGAGGGGCAAGGCACCCTCTGAGAACAAAAAGCGCCTGAGGTAAGCCACGTGATCAAGCTGCTTCAGTCCAGAGAAACACCAAGCCCGAGACAATCCAAACATTTGTTGCTAGGCAAGGCTGTCACGTGACACTTTGTCAAATATATAAATAAACACCCCTACAGTGGTTGAACAGTTTCCTTTCAGAGAGGGTTCCATCTGACTTCACCTTTTGTCTCTCTATTTTTCCCATCCTCTAGCTGTCCTTCTCCCCCTCCACAACTCCATGCTGGACCACAGCAAAACACATTTAGAGCTACTAAGTGTTTTAGTTCTTAAGTGTTTTAGAGTTACTAAGTGTTTTAAACCATATATTATTCCACTTCTGAACATATCATAAACTGTACTATCCAAATCCTAATCGGTGGCTTCAGAACTATTTCTTTCTTTTTTTTTTTTTGGTTTTTCCTCCGGTACCGGGAACTGAACTCACGACCTTGCACTTGCCAGGCAGGCGCGTTGCTGCTGAGCTAAATCCCCAGCCCCTTTCAGAACTATTTCTATGTGTTCTATTTACAAACAGTGCTACTGTAAACATCCTTGACCCCTCATTTTTTATACAGATCCTTATTTGCACCCTTTGGAACATGTTTTGCAGGATAAATTTCAATAAGTGAATGAATATTTGAAAAATGTAATAGCTATCACTTTAATATATTTTGCTAATTCACATTTCCACTCCAAATTTGTAAAAGTATAATTCTCTCATCACATTATCAGGATACTATCAGACTTTCAAAACTAATGATATAGGCAAAAGGTAACATTTTTAGTTGAATATTTTGGAAAACAGAATTGACACGCTTTATTATTATTATTTGCATTTATCCCTTGCTTTGAATTGACTATCTCCAACTGGGCTGATTTTAAAAGTCGATAGAGTTTTAGGTTTTTCTCAACAAAATTATCTTTTCTGTTTAACAATGTATGCAGTTGTCTGTTTTTTACATGCAGGTATTAATAAAAAGTATACTCCTAAAGGGGTCTAGGTTTTTGTGTTACACTCAGAAATGCTTTCTCCACATGCACATAAACATTTATTGAACTTTTCCTACTGTTTTTTGCAGGTTTCATATGTTTAGATTTAAATTAAAAAGCCATTGAAGATACATTCTATTACAAGTGAGGGAAAATGTCAGTTATATTGTTAGTTCTCCCCAATAAATACCTGGTTGTCCAAGCATGATCAATTAAATGTTACTTCTTCCTCGTCCTTTCATTTAAAATGTTTATCAAATGCCAATTTTCCTTTTATTCTTAAATATGTCTCTATAATTTTGTTGAACTATCTGGCATTTGGTCTATGTCATTATCTTTTAATCACTTCGGTTTTATAATACCTTTTGTTACATAGTAAAGTTCCATGTTTTTTAAATTGAAATCTTCCTATTTGCTAGCATTTCTTTCATAAAATCTAAATAGTTTGGTTTAAGACATCTAAAATAGGATTATATTAATGTAGATATTATTTTAAGGACATTACATGTAGGGAAATATATCTTTATTGGATTTGTATGTAGGTGTACATGTAATATATAACATAGTATATGTAATACATTTTCATTTAAGCTCCTACAGCTTATATTTCCCTAAAATATTTTTTCAATTTTCACTTCATGCCAAATTGTCTCACCTTTTTTTTTTTTTTTTTTTGGTTTCCCGGAACTGAACTCAGGACCTTGCACTTGCCAGGCAGGCGCTGTGCTGCTGAGCTATGTCCCCAGCCCTGCTAAATTGAAGCTTACCTTATTATTTTCTAGTTTACATGTACAGCACCAATTGAGTTCTATAAACTTAATATGATGCATTTGGAAACTATGCAAAATTTCCTTATTCCTTTGAGGTTTTCAGTTGCTTGCTGTGAACATTCAAGGAATACAATCTTATACATAAAGTGACAATTAGGATCTTCCTTTGTGTGTGTGTGTGTGTGTGTGTGTGTGTGTGTGTGTGTGTGTGTGTTTTGAGAAAAAGTCTCACTATGTAGTTTAGGCTGGCTCTGAACTCAATATGTAGCCCAGGTTGGCCTGGCCGGGGAAGTCACAGAGATCCTTCTGCTTCAGCCTCCTGCTGGGATTACATGCAAGGCCACGCTCCTCTAATCTGTGTCTTGATTCTAATCAGAAAGTTACTGCTTTCTGTGTAACGTTAAAGACCCACACAATTCCCAACAACCTCCGAGGAAGACACTGAGAATCACTGCCTTTCCAGTTTAGTGGAAATGATGCCTGCGTTTCACGATGAACCATGACAGCAGACAGTCTGAGTGCGTTATCTACTTCCACCACCACAGCATGCAAATTAAAATACTGGATCTACGCCCGTTGAATGTGGTTGGAAATTAACCTTAGGATAAATATCTTACTTTAGCGGCTCCACTTTAAATATGCAATCTAAAACTAAAAACTACACTGCAGATCCGAAGTAGAGGAGCATACAGACCCACAGAGGAAACAACAGAAAAAATATGAGTGCTTTACTTTTTAAAACGCAAGTATAACCACAAATAAAGTACTTCTGCCCACTTCGCCAAAACTGACAACGTGAGAGACGGGTTCTAACACACACACACACACACACACACACACACACACGCAGAAGCTGCCGTCCCGCTTACCTGCCCCGCGCCGCCGGGAAGACGCCGGGAGCCCGCGGTGCAGACGGCCGGGGCGCGGCGCAGGAGATCGGGGTCGGAGCG